GGCTCACACTATAAAACGAATTACTGAAGTTCATGGTCATTTATTAACAAATAATAATTGCTAGCACTTATTGAGCACGTACTATATGCCAGGCACGTGTATATTATCTTGTGTAGTCTTTACAACAATGCTGTAAGGCAGGTGCTGTTGCCATCTCCATTTTATAGGTTAGGAACCTGAGACACAGAGAGGTAGGATAACTTGCACAAGGTCACACAGCTAATAAATGGCAGAGCCAGGATCTAAAGGACAAGAGTCTGTATTTTCAGCCACTACACTAGACAGCTTCATTATGCAGAGAAGAAAAATGAGGTTAAAAAATACATTACAAATAATGGAATGAGGAAAAAGCCTCTCAAGGAAAATTGCTCTTATTACTTTAATCAGACTGTTGTCTTTTATTAGATGGATCCAAGTCCTGGAAACACAGGCAACAGAGGGAACCTGTCCTGGCTGGTCCAGGCTCCTTATGTGGAAGGCAGAAAACGCCAATATTCAAAGCGGTGCCTTTTTGCCATCTTTTACCACCTCGAAAGTCATTTGTCAGTGTTGTAGAAATCATTCTCTTAGTGGCTAGGGTATTTGGATTGAGGGAGAAAGCACTGGGAGAGATAGAGCTGTAAGACTGCCGGGGTTGGTACCAAATCTCACCCCATCCAAAGAGCCCAAGTGATTCAGGTGAATTCTAGGCCAAGCCTCTGATTTAGTCTGAATCAGAATCACCGAGAGCAAACAACCCTGGCGGGGAACAGGAAGATACCACTTCCCCTGGCCGAAGCAGGTGGACCAGAGATGCTAGACCAGAGCCCCTAACTCTGCTGCTCTCTTGCTCTGACTTTCTCATCCCCTTTCTGTGGGGCAGGAAGTTCTGGGACCAAGCCAGAGCCCACCAAACCTGTCCAGATCAACACCAGCAATACTGGACTTCCCTGGTGGTGCAGTGCTTAAGAATCCACCTGCCAGTGCAGGGGACACGGGTTTGATCCTTGGTCCCGGAAGATCCCACATGCCGCAGAGCAACTAAGCCCGTGCGCCACAACTACTGAGCCTGTGCTCTAGAGCCCGCGAGCCACAACTACTGAAGCCCTCACACCTAGAACCTGTGCTCTGCAACAAGAGAAGCCACTGCAATGAGAAGCCCTAGAACCGCAACAAAGAGCAGCCTCCGCTCACCGCAACTTGAGAAAGCCCACACGCAGCAACGAAGACCCAACGCAGCCAAAAATAAATAAACAAATTTATATATATATAAAAAAAAAAGACCAGTGGTACTGCGTCCTTTGATGTCAGGGCACGCACACTGACCAAATGTTTTTCATCAGGCATCCAGCCCAGGCAAAGCTGAGCCCTGTGTCTCTAAGACCAAAACCAGTGCTTTCCTCTGTGATGCTGAAGCAGATCCCAAAGATCAACTCTCCAGTTTTGACAACTAAGTAACCCATATTAGTCTAAAGGGATAGATCAAATCCCAAAAGTCCGAATCTTCACCACTTTCCAACTATTCATCACATTTTCTCTCCAGAAATCTGAAAAATGTCTATCAACAAAACAAAAAACAAACCTACGTATTAAAACAAATCTAACTGCCTTAACTTCAGGATTATGTGTTTCCTGACAACACGGCTCTTATAAAAGCACTCAAAGTTCTGTTATCATCTAATTACAATTTCTATACAGCTCTTTATATGTGTGTGCTTAGAAGCCAAAAAGTGAAGCTTCAATTACTTTTGCCCCAACCACTAAAGCAAGTAGAAACAGGACAACCTTCCACAAAGAATTTTTTTAAAAAAGATGCTGGAATCCTGTTATTTGGTGTTCTCTCACAGTTCCAAGCAAGGTGAGAGGAGCCATGCAAAACGCAGTTTTAAAGTCTCGGCTATCCCGAGACTTTCTTACTATATAAAGGGGAAATTAATAAAAGAAGAAAAAGAGAAATAATACACTGCATTTTCTTTCCCTACCATAATTTTTCAATTTTCTTTAGGGAAATGCCAGCCAATAACTAATTAGGACCATATCCTTTGTTATCCCAGTGGGAAGTATACCAATGGATTTAAGAACAAATGTTAATGAGAACTTAAAAAAATTAGTAATCTGGAACTTTGGTTTCCCTTCAGTGTAAAAACAAAATTCTCTCCTTTAATGCTATTTTTATAGTTGGTGAAACAACATGGACAGAATCCATCAACAAGAAGCTAAGTTGTCTAGCCAGTGAGCACCCTGAATCGCGGGTGCCCTGGGTTTTTCACTGTTGTTATCACAGAATTGGCATCCCAAGATCACAGATTTCTAAGCACACCAATTTCAAATAAGAGAGACAAAAACTCAAAGTTACAGAAAAGGAATTTGTTTTACATCTCTTTGGTTTCAAGGGGGAAAATAATTTCTTCCAAAGTGAGTACATAGCTGTTGTAATTTCCAAGAGTATATTTTCCATAAGAAACACAGCTGGAGTCCTTTTACCTGGTATATCACCACAAATAAGAATATTTCTAGGATCAAATCTTGAGTTGCCTATTCATGAACCTCAAGGAGCAGAAACTACCTCCTTGAAAATTGGACTTGTTTTATTTTTTTAATAAACTTATTTACTTTATTTATTTTTGGCTGCATTGGGTCTTCCTTGCTGTGTGTGGCTGGGCTTTCTCTAGTTCGGGCGAGCGGGGGCTACTCTTCTTTGAGGTACGCGGGCTTCTCACTGCGGTGGCTCTTCTTGCAGAGCACGGACTCTAGGCACGCGGGCTTCAGTAGTTGTGGCTCTAGGGCTCTAGAGCGCAGGCTCAGTAGTTGTGGCGCACGGGCTCCTCAGCATGTGGGATCTTCCCCCACCAGGGCTCGAACCCGGGTTCCCTGAATTGGCAGGCGGATTCTTAACCACTGCGCCACCAGGGAAGCCCTGGACTTGTTTTAGACAACAAAGTGAACTATAAAATGTGAGTCAGAAAAGCTCTGAGCAAAAATAAATTTTTAATATGCTAACGCACCATGGTTTGGGCACAGGCCAGCAATCTGAACTGTATTTTCAAATGAGGTTCTGCCCTGTGTCATCCAGACTCTCATCCTGGTGGAATTAGCAAGTCCAGGTTGGAGCCACAGACCACTTTTTTTTCATGTAAAAGGACTAGCCAGAGCACACTGAACTAGGCATGGCCTATGTCATATCAGATATTCTCCTTTTTGGAAAAAAAGCTTTAAGCATTTGCAAAACATCTCAATTTGTCCCATATTTTTTACTATCCAGCAAATTTATTTCCCCCACTTGTTGTGGAGGAAAACACAACAATAGGCCTTAGGTCTGTAACATTTTACCATCACTGTGTATTTGCAAAAGCTAGAATTCATTTGTATTGCCCAATAAGGACATTATTTTACATGGACTTTGGTCTACAACAGAAAATGGACATAACAATGAAAATATTTCTTGATAAATCACTTTCTGGACATTACTCCTCCCCAAAACGATCATAAAAACCACCACCAAGGAAAACAAAGGATTCCCATGTTTTAAAGCAAAAAAGGACTGGCTATTCATATTCAGGCACCATATAAATTAAATATGGTTTAATGGCAAGATCACCTAAAAAGTGTTTAAAACGCCAAGCTTTGCCTCTGTGTGGTTAGTGAGCCCATGTTTCTCCAATGTTAAATTTACAAACTATATTTGTTAAACTGTATTTCATACTTTAAATACCAAGTCTGTACCTTACACTGCTTCCATGGATGATTTACTCGAGACATATAGAGTCACAGTCTAAGCCTTTTACTCGACTAAGTTTAAATCATGCTTCTCAACAAGATTCTGTACACATTAAAGCAGCACATGGCAGCCCTAAACGCCCCCAGAAGAGCCCTTCTCCTGTCCACTCCATAAAATGAGAGTTTCCTCCGGAAAGGAAGGGGCTGGATTCACACGTTGCATCAGGCATACTAATTAAGCAAAAGTGCTCCAAAACTTTTTCTGTTTCGATGCATGGCAAAATTTCCTGAATTCGTTTTATTAAAACACATCTCCATCCAACAGACACACTCAAAAATCAAACCTAATTTCAGCAGCAAACCGGGGGGGGGGGCGGCGGGAGATGAGAAGTTGACAGCAAGGTATAAATTTCCCCCAGTCCTCGTTCTTCCGGTCAATCCGCACCTATGGGATCGGTTCAGCATTTAATTCGATGTCAAGGCAACACTGGCCCACCAACCAAGCAACTAAGAGCTGCACGGACGGGTCTGGTCCGGTGCCCGAGAGGCATCTGGTGAGGATGGCTGGACAGCCAGACAATGAAAGGCTCCCCGGGGGCCACTAGTTCAGCCCGGGGTAGGGGTGGGGGGCGGAGGGAAGGCGAAGGCAGACGAGCGAGCTTCTCGCCCGAAGCCACGGTCAGCGGCCGACAACGCCCCCCCCCTTCAAGGGCGCCTGGCGGCCTAGCCTCGGCCTCCGGGTCCCCGGCCACAGCCGGAGAGAGCCCCAGGAAAGCCCATTTCTCTCGGAAAGAGAGGAAACTTCCTGGTTCAGGCATTATGGGTAGGGGGCTAGCGCCCTCCTCCCCCACCACAGGTATCCGCGGGGAGTCTAGCGCTGAGGGAAAGGAAGCGGCCCCTCCCTGCGCCTCTGCCTGGGGGTGGGGGTCACCGAGTCGCGACCCCCGAGCGCAGCCACCCCCTACTCGAGGCTTCCCACCATGGGGGAACCGGGCTCTCGACTCCCCAGGACGCGAGTCGGGATCCCAGGGGTTTCAAACTTCCCCAGCGGGCGCGGCCTGGCATCGGCACAGAGGAGTTGCCGCGGGAGCCGCTAGCCGGCGAGGTTCCGGGACGGGGAGGCGGGCAGAGGCAGGGGACGCTGAGGGGCAGGAGGGGAAGCTCGTGCACGACGGCGGAGGGGGCGGAGGGGGCGCCGGGGGGGGGCGGCGGCGAGGACCCGGTTCCCGGGAACTCGCGGGCTGCGCACCCGGGCCGGGGACGCCGACGAGGCCGGAGCAGCCGACGAGGCCGGCGCAGCTCACCTTCCTGTGCTTCTCCTTGTAGGGCAGCGCCAACCACGGCATGTCCCGCACGAAGTCCTGCCACTGCCGCTGGTCCTGGTCCGAGGACACGAAGACAATCTCCAGGCGGCGCCGCGACTCGGGTTCCGCCGCCGCCCCGGCCCCCGGCCCCGGGCCGGCCCCAGCCCCTGGCCCGGCCGCCGCGTCCCCCCGCAGGCGGCCGTAGAAGGCGGCCAGGCTGGCGCTGAGCTGCGCGCAGGGGGCGCTCAGGCTACAGCCGAAGTAGAGCCCGAGCAGCGAGATGCCGCGGGCAGCCAACGAGTGCACGTCCACCTCCTCGCCGCCGCCCGTCACCAGCTTCTCTCCCAGCAGCTCCTCCAGGAAACCCGACATCCTGGCCCACCGCTGCCCGGGCACGCGGGCACCCGGGCAGGCAGGCGGCGGCGACCGCGCTCCCTCGGTCCGCGCGGCGGGTAGAGGCTACAGCAGCAGCGGCGGCGGCGGCGGCGGCGGGCACTGGGGAAAAGAAAGCCCCGCCCGTGGGGCCCGCCCACGCCACGCCCCCTTTGTAGCAGTGCTAGCCGCCTAGGCACTGGCTGCTGCAGAGGGCGTAGGGGGCGCGGGCTCCCGCCGCGTGGCCGAAGTGCTCGGGAGACAACCCTGGCGGAGGACTTCCCATCTTCACACAATGTTACCTTCATCACGCTAGGTCTTGCTCGGCACTTCTCTGTATGTTTCGTGTTCTCTACTATAAGAGGACTGGAGGACGCCACCTCTTTTATTTCTTGTGTAGCTTTTGATCTAGTGCTACGCACATGGGAGGGAATCCATAAGTACTTGTGGGTTGATCGCAGGTCTCACTGTGGGATTTCAGTCCCCAGGTCGCCGCGGCCATTTCCTCACCAGCGATTGGCTCTCTTCCATCTCCACAAATAGAGGGACCAGATACCACGGCATCTCTAAATCGAAGCTGGCTGCTTTCCTGAACCGGTTCCGTGGCTTCTATTAAGTCTGTTGATAGTTGAGGAAAATTCTAGGGATTTTTTTTTCCCCCAGCTGGCAAGACGCTACCCTATGGTTAGAGCGAACCTGGATTAAACAGGTGGTCTGTGGCAAGTCTTCCGGCCTCCCCACCCTGACACACACACAGTCGAAAAAATAAAATGTACACCATGCCCACCCGCAACAGAGGAACAACAGTGTGTCCGCTCAGCTACCAACAGCCCAGTGAAAGGATGGGACGCCCCTCTCACAGCCCTCCACCAGGCTTTTGCAAGTTATTTCTTGGGCATCTACCGCCATCTAGTGGAAAGGTTGAAAAAGAAAACGAGATACTGGCAGCCAAGCAGAATGTCTATATTTTATAGCGGCTTTCCACACATGCAAACACACACACATAAATCATAGCCTGCTTTACAAGAGTTCATTTAAACCTCAGAATATAACTTCAAGCTTTGGGCACAAACACAAATCTTCACGCTTAAGGTTCCCAATTTTCTGGGATAGAACATGAAATTGTACTAGTTTTTGGTTCAGTGAAATGTTACCACATAAAGCGGTGAAAGAGGTGGAGGTGGAGGCGGGCGCCACGAGTGCACTGGCAATCTCTTGAAACGATATCTACTTTCTCAGCATCCACCTAACACTGCTGCTCATTTCACAAGTAGGATCTTTGGACTGAGGATTGCCTTTAGGCAGGCAAGAGACCTATGATAAAGGCGAATTCCAAGCTCATTTTTAGTGTCATGCCAAAATTCTGTGCGACTGCAGGGACAGTATTATTATCCAACACATGGAAAGCATCGCTTTTTAGTGAAAACATGTAAAAGCTATTAACATAGCAGACATTAAGTTGTTAGATATCTTTTAAAATACTGAAAGTGGGTTAAAGTGTTTTATTTTCTCATCCAAATCATATTTGAAACACCCGTGGGTGGGTTACATCAGGCCCCATCCAAAGCATGTGAGACAGATAGATTCCTACACCCTGACGTTTTCAAGTGAACACTGAAGATATGGGAGGGGACCATAAACATCCTATGGAAGACGAGGGACAAAGTATTTGGTGTGGAGGGAGGTGAGGAGGGAATTAGGGGGGATTGCAAATTGGGGAAATAGTGAAGTCATTATTAAAGTACTTAACTTTGGTATACTATACGCAAGTCTGTATAAAGAGGTGGTATGTTCAGCATTTTCCTTTTATTATTTGACAGGAAAGCACTTTCTACTGGAGTGCGTCCAAACCAGCATCTGGCACCTGGGAAAGTGAGAGTTTGAACATACTGCACATGAAATATAAATAAAAGTTAGAGAATTGTTGGTGCAGCAGGCCTTGGCTAGATGCCAAATACTGCAGCTGCCTTTTAAAGGGGTGTGGAAAGAGGGGATTTGCAATGGAAATGATTCCAAAATCATAGTTCTAGTGGGTGTTTGTTACAAGAAGAAGCCTGAGGAGACTCACTGGGCTTCCTGTAAAGAATAGCCAACATCCTTTGGCTTATGGAAAGCACTCTCTCTGAGTACACGGTTCAAGAGACCCACTTAAAGAAAATGTCCCAACTGGTATTTAGCTAGTTAGGTTACATGAATTGACCTGCTATTCTGCAAATTATTATTGTTTTAAAATATGTGTTAGGGAGCCACAACATACCTGACATTTATAGCACTTACATATTACAGTTTTTCTTTGGGGAAACGGCATTCTAAGGCACATGATGTCATACAAAACATGCACAGAACAAATACATATTTGTCACCTTTAAGATTCATAAATCACATGCCTTGGTCTTCAGTTATAGTAGCATAAGTGCACAAAGATGTATGTGTACAGATAGGTACTGATACACTGGTGAAATCAGAAAAAGACTGGAAAGAGCCTAACTGTGTATCAATGAGGAGGATTAAAGGATGGCACATTCATCATTTGGGATACAATCTAGTCATTGAAAGGAATGAAGGAGATGTACACTGTATCAGCACAGAGCTCTGTGTCTGTGCTCTCCAGAGAAAGAGAACCAATATAGAGAGAGATTTGCTATAAGGAATTGGTTCACATGATTATGGAGACTGAAAAGTCCCAAGGTCTGCAGTCAGCAAGCTGGAGACTCAGATAACTGATGGTATAGTTAGTTCCAGTCTGAGTCCAAAGACTGGAAAATCAGGGGAGCTGATGGTGTAAGTTCTAGTCTGTATTGAGTCCAAAGGCAGGAGAAGACCTATGTCCCAACTCTAAGACAGGCAGAGAGAGTGAATTCTCCCTTACTTTTTATTCTATCCAGGCCTTCAACTGATTGGATGAGGCCCACCCACATTGGGAAGGCAACCTGCTTTACTCTGTCTACTGCTTTACATGTTAATCTCATCCAGAAACACCCTCACAGACACACCCAGAATAATGTTTAACCAAATATCTGGATACTCGGGACTTCCCTGGTGGCACAGTGGTTAAGACTCCATGTTCCCAATGCAGGGGGCATGGGTTCGATCCCTGGTCAGGGAACTAGATCCTGCCTGCATGCCATAACTAAGAGTTCACGTGCCGCAACTAAGAGTTCGCATGCCACAACTAAGGAGCCCGTATGTCACAACTAAGGAGCCAGGTGAGCCGCAACTAAGGACCCTGAAAGCCACAACTAAGAAGCCTGCCTGCCGCAACTAAGAGCTGGCACAACCAAATAAATAAATAAATATTTTTAAAAGTATCTGGGTACTCTGCACCCCAGTCAATTTGACACACAAAATTAAACATCACATGTCTACCCCTTGTCAACTTGGCACCCATATGCATCTCCTTAAACCATACTTACTCTCCAAATAAAGACAATAACAAGATCATAATCCTGCCTAAAATGATACAAGTATCATGTATACAAGCAAAAATGCACTGACTCCATCCCCATAAGAGACGGTAAAGTCGCTGAGGATGCTTACTCACCTTGATACCCCGTAACTTAAGTACGATGATGTAAAATTAACAATACTTAAATACTACAATATAAAGTCAATACATTTTATGTTACATTATAAGGAAATAAGAGATAAAAGGAACAAAGATGTTTGCCAAATACAAACACACACACATATATTCATAACAAGGAAGAAATACTCATGACAATATAGCCCTCATTTCTATAACTGATCATGTGATCATAGCTGGTATTTATAACCACCTTCTTCTACTATCTTTTTTTTATGCCTTTTGACTTCAGCAAGCACCTCAGCTGGTCGTGGTTCTTTACCTGGTGGGGTGACTCAAACCCTCATTCCTGAAGGGTCTAGGCCATTAGTAGTCCTGCCAGGAGTAGGTTATTGTAGTTTTCCTTTGACCTTAATCACAGGGTATGATAACTAAGAGATGCCCTAAGGGGTCTCCCATATTGCAGATACGCTCTTCCTTACCTTCACTGTTGACTAGTGGTCCAATTTCCCCTTGGTGGTCAGGATCAATCATTCCACCCAACAGAGTAACTCCCTTCTTTGCCTGTTAACTCAGAGGCATGAGATGCCCAAAGTGGCCAGGTGGCAGTCTTAACTTCCTGTGCAATGGAATCACTGTTGTTTCTCCTGGTGGAGGCACTCCTCCATTTGGAACTAAGACCTGTAGGCCAGCAGAGCATGACGTTGTGGGAACAAGAAGCAAACATTTTGCTAGTGGGTCACTAGGGGTAATAGTGATCGGTGCCCCTCCCATTTCCACCTCCCGATTCCTGGCCCCGTGACTCCTAGCTCTGGGAGAAACAGCACCTTATACTGGATGCTAATTCAGAGCACACACAGTCTTCTGGAGAACCTTGCCCTGGCCCTGCAAAGAGCTGCCACCTAACTAGTGCTGTAAACCGAATGTTCAAAAGGCCATTCTACTGTTCCACCAAACCAGCTGCTTCAGAGTGGTGAGGAGCATGGGAGCCAGTGAATTCCATGAGCCTGTAACTTACTTGTGCCTTCAGGGCCTGCTTGGGCCCAATCGCATATATCCCACATCCATCTGATGATGAAGTGTCCCTGTGCACACCCAACCTTATGGCTTGGTGGGGCAGATAACACCCAGTTCATGACGGACAGCTCAGGTAGCGTGGTAACTGATGCGTGGTGGCCCGAGTGTTCAGCCTCTGTGAAGATCCAGTAGCAGGCCACGTACTGTTTCCCCAAAGGTGAGTAGTTATCCACAGAGAATGGCAGGCCTCACCTACAGGGGCTGCCAAAGTCTCCAAATAGCATCCCTATCTGCCTGTGACCTACCTCAAGCACCATCGGATCTGACGGGTCGTATGGCCCAAGGGACAGGGCAGTTTGTACAGCAGCCTGGAACTTCTGCAGAGTCTTCCCATGTTCGGGGACCCCCTCAAAACCAACAACTTTTGTGGTCACTCAGTAAACAGGCCAGAGTAACACACCCAAATGAGGAATATACTGGGCACACTGTGGCCTAGTCAAGTTGACACATAAAATTAACCATCTCTTGCACTGATATGTAATATCTCTAAGATGTAACACAAGAGTAAGTAAGGTGCAGAATAGGTAGGAAAGACTAAGCTACCGCTTGTAAAATTTTTTTTTTTATT